TAACAGTAACAATAACAATAAGTAATAACAATAATAATAATAACAGTCACAATAACAATAAATAATAACTTTTTTCTTCTCTGATCAGAAATGCGCCGAAAAGAAACACGAAACCACAAATTTAAGTTTTATTTTTAAATTTATTGCTTAAGAGTTGTCCGAATTTCTGTACAAAATAATAAAAATATTAATGAAAAATAAAATAATTTGAAACTGTCTATGTATTTATGAAGTGTATGAGAATGGGAAAATATTACTTTTGAAATCAGTAATAAACCCAGAAATGAGTATCAATCTGTTTCAATTCCATTTTATAGTCTATCAAGCGAGATATTAACACGATAGTCATTTCCTTCCTGCCGGTCATTCCTGTCTCTCAGTTCAATTGTTCTATAAATCGAGATGTCATTCACAGAACATTATGTCTAGAATTGTTTCGCAACCTCTCAAATGAAGTGGAAATAATTCCGCTGACTTTCTTTATAAACTTCTTGAAAGGATATTATAAAATATCTATGAGTTTCCAAAACAACAGATTACGTTTGAATTGATTGCGATTATTTGTACCATATAAGGAATTTATAACTTTTATTTAAGTTCTTATCTTACCTTTATTTAGCTCTTATCTGAATTAATATATAACTGCCACCTGAAACTCATCGCACTGCCCCTAGTGTCGAAGTATGGAAGTTAAAGATGCTTATCTCGAAAACAATGAAATATAGCGGAAAAAAATCAACTACAAAAGTATACAGAGTTAGCGATTTAATATAATCCCTTCCGGACGAGAGCCGCATATGTGCGTTTGAGCCCATATCCAAAGGGCCGAACGCCGCATGCGTGCGTTACTGCGAAATTGACTCTGTGGGCCGAGCGCGCATATATGCGTTGGCTTCTGGCACAAAATGTTTTCTATCAGATGGCCTTACTATTCCATGTTTCTTTCAAAAGATTGGTCCCGTACATTAATATGTCTTTTTCCGAGGTCAGATTGTAGTCGATCACGTGTTTGTGAATCATTAGATTAGAATTATTGGATTTTCGGGATATAAACAGAAACACGTGTTAGCAAGTGTAAAGAGAAGCACATGTTAAAGAGCTCTTTAACTCATTTGGGATTACTTTTTTATAATTTCTCGTTTCGCTTGGGTTGGGATTTTATGGGAGATATTCTGTCAAGGGTTTTTATGCCTCTCAGTTTTATTTCTGCAATTATGGGTAAAAGAAAGCGTTATCTTTCCAAGGAGGGGATATGTAAATTTTTAAATGGCGCTTCTATGGATTTTTACGATTATAATGACAAAACAATAAATTATTAGTGTTCTTCAGATAGTTCTCAATATTCAGATTTTCAATTAGAAGAGGATAGTACTAATATATCGGTTCCAATTCCGTCATATTAATGGAGTACTAAAATAGAAGATTTTTCATAAGGCTTTGCAGTGTTAATTATTAAAATTTTCTTGAAGTATTTTATAATATTAAATGCAAATATTCATTTTTTCCTATGTTTTCATATTTTGTATCAATAATCTAGTGCTAATTTAGGTACTTTCAATTACAGTGAAATACAATATATTTTTATTTTTTATTATTAAAAATCAACTATTTTAATTAAACTTTTTTTATTGTGAATAGAATATCATATCTTTTATCACATATTAAAATTGGTTTCATTTCTATGTAAAGGGCACTTTTTATGCATTATTATATAACGCGCTTTTTTCTACGAAATTTAATGCGTGTTAGGCTTAGCGGGAGAAAATGCTTCGGCCGGTGGGCACCGTTGGTGCTTGCCTGCTTCTGTCCTGTGGGCACGCTTCTTTCAGCGGGCCCGAAGGGAATAAAGTAAAACTCATTTTACAGCGCGATCACAACTAAAGTATAAGTGTTTAAGCAAAAGCACAAACATCGCAGACAAATGTGGCGCTATATGCTAAATTTGGCCTATAAAATAGCCGTGAAAATTAAAACCAGAGGGAGTGATATCTCCTAAACTTTCTCGTATACTTTCTAAGTGGAGATTCGTCAAAATCTCGAGTTCGAATTTTTTTTGACGATTACAATACTTTCTCTTTGTATACTTCGTATACGAGAAAGTGAAACAAACCAACAAACCTGAAATCAAATATCTGTTGCCACGTTTCAAAAAAATATTACTTTGAAGCAGGTGAGATAAAATAGGCAATGCAATGAATACTAAAGCGAAAATTCTGCTTTGGAATTGAATTCCCAAGAAAACAATTTATACTACCACAATCGTAACAATTGCAAAAGCTCGTAAATAAAAGATTTGCTGAAATAATGAGATCGGTTTGATTTACAACAATAAAAAAAATTGTTAACAATTGATGTTTGAAAACATTATTTGTTGTTGTAAATAAAATTTACAACAATAACAGATTGCTACCAATACGCATGCGCATGAGAATCGGATTAAAAGAAATTGAATATGCAATTTGAACGCCTCTTTTTGACGGATTTGGCCCAAACTTTTATACGGACCTACATTCATAACGATAAAACTGTGTACCAAATTTTATCCATTTAGCTAATCAAGTTTTTGAGTTATAGCGTTCACATGACCGCGGACATACAGATAGACAGACTTCCCGTTGACAGATTTTGTCCAAAATTTGATAGAAACCTACAAATTATGTTTAAAGACCATATACCAAATTTCATCCCCGTAGCTCTAATAGTTTTCGAGTTATCGTGACACACAGACAGACACACACACAGACAGACATACAGACATAATTCCAAAATTGTGTTTTTCGGACTCAGGGAGGTCTAAAACGTGGAGATCCGTCAAAATCTCGAGTTCGAATTTTTTGACGATTACAATACTTTCTCTTTGTATACTTCGTATACGAGAAAGTAAAAATTCTGTGGGTGTGTCGGTGAGTCTACGCACGACAGAAGCGAAGCTTCTCACGCTTTTTTATATAACTAAATGTAATAATGGTAGAGACAAGCTCTCTGTCTCTCTTTGTTTCACTTCCCTCGCCATTTTATTTCTGTTTATGGAAAGAAAACAGCAAACGTTGCGAAGCATTGATGGTATGACGGTTAGCATAGCTAACTTCCAAACAGTTGACCCGGGTTCGCTCCCGGACGATGCAGTTCTAACTTTTCCCTCTGCCTTTTATTTACAAAAACAGAATGCATGCGAGCATTCTGTATCAACGCGCTTATAAACAAAGCCTACGAAAGCATAGGTATACGTAGCCGCATCGATGTCCCTTCCGTTGGTATGACGTCCTTCCGTCTCGTGACGGTCGCTTTTTTTATGCTGATTCTCCACCGCGAAGCCTGTGTTAAAACGCTTAGCTTCGAAAAAAAGGAAAGTGTTATGTGGCTGACTAATATTTAATGGACATTAGAACTGAAAATTATTTTTTTAAAAGTCACATTCTTTATTTTATATTTGAAGTTCGTCTTTTGCAACAATAGCTGTGTGAGCATGAATTTTGATTTTGTTACTTGATCTAACTCTTTTGATTTTTGCTTGAGAGAGATTTTTGATGTGTAAAATGGCTCGAATTCTCTGTAAATGTGGATGATTTACCCTAGTTAATGGATAGGAAATGTGGATGATTTACCCTACATCACTGCACAGCAGACAGAGCGATAGAGACATGATGTCGCAGTCGCTTCATTTTCATACAACACTCTCAAAAGAAGCTTATTGAACGCATTTTCTAAACTAAATTATTAAAAAAAAAGAAGCGAAATGCAAAAAAAAAAAAAAAACCCCTCTGAACTCTAAAGACGACAAGTGAAAAACAAATGTAAACAAATTCAGATAAATACTAAAAATGAAATGTAACTGCTCAAAATTATTTCTGTTCTAAAAAGTCCATTAAATTTTCGACAATCGCATTAAACGTTTATTTATTTAGTTTTTTATGCTTATTTTACTGCCCAAATTCAGAACGCCAATTTTGCACCTGGTGACGAAATTGCGAACGATTTTTTTTACCTTAATAAATCGTTCCCTCATTGTCTAAATAATATGTCTACGAAATGGCCTTTGCATTTGGGTCTCTATCATATATATATATATTTTTTATCACCCTGCAAAACAAAAACTCAGATGACCTGAAATTATTACTATTAGTGGATATTTCAACCACAAATTACAGTAATTAATGACACAAAATAAATAAAGAACATTATTTCGCGTTTATTTATGGATAATAAACTGCTGTTGTACATATTGCTGTATAAATTTAACAATTTTAATTTGCCTCCTATTAAAAATATCACTATTCTTTCGCACTCTTCTTCTTCGTGACTTAGTTTCGACAGTGATTGGATTCACATTTTATATTACAAATACCAATAACTTAATTAGAAGAAATTTCAGTTCTTCTAATTAAGTGACTAGTGTTTGTACAGGGTAATTTATACTAAATTAGTGACACTATACACTTTTGTAACTGGAATTTTTTTTTTGCTGTCTACCTAGATTTATGATATAAAATCTTTAAAAATTGCCTCTAGTTTCTGCAGTTTAGTTTCCAATGCTAAAGCTCCAATCACTTTACTAAGTAATTCAAGCTTCCATGACTCTAACTATCTTAGTTCGGACATTATTTTGCTGTGTAAAGATATAGGTATACACTATGTAGAGGAGTTTAAATTATTTGATTAACAATTTGCTTTAATGCTTCAAGTTTCGCATGACTTATAACTATGCGAATGGGAATGGGTATGGCCAACTTTAAATTTTACCTCAATCAGTCGACGAAGATTGAAAATGAGTTCGAATAATTATATCATGCCAACTTGAAGAAGTTGAACACATGAAAAGGAAGGATAATTCATCTAAGTTAAGTGCAGCTGGAACTTTCAACTCCTAATATGTCCTGGCGTCACAAACAAGGTGGATTTCGAATAGAACAGAGATTGTAGAGAGTGCGTTTGCCAACTAAACCATTAACTGAATAATTTGATTAGCATCTTGTTTTGAAGCTACACTTGAACTATTTTAGGAAGCACCGCATAACTTTAACCCTCTGAGAGGTTAGCTATTTTGAGGTACTACATTTAAAACCTCAAAAATATTTGCTTCTAAAGTGAATAATTGGATCTTAATTGTGTTTAATCAAGTGTCTGATATCTTAAGAGTACTTCATCCGTGGTAGTTTAAGAAATTATACACATGAACATGATTGCCTGCTTTTGAGGGCAATATGAAAAACGGAAAACTACAAGTGAAACGCTTAGAAGATTAAACTGGTTGTGCCAGATGTGGTAACCTTCACTTCAAAGATTTATTGGAAGTACATTTGTACAGATTTGGTGATTTCGTGGCCTCTTCCTTTCTCTCATAATCGGGTTTCCTTGATCTTTGTTGGAACCGGATCTCGAATCGGTACCAGTTCGATGAAAGAATGCCGTGCTTAATCGTTTTATTTGTCTCCTTTATTAAAATATTTTATCTTAAAAAAGCGGGTGCGTCGGTGAGGCATATTTACGGATCCTGCTATGGTTTGGATTGAGGTCGCTTTTCATTGGTTCTCAGCGTCACGTGACTTCGCTTGCTTCTGAATGATGTCATAGGAGCGCGCTTAGTTTGGATTTCGATTTTTGTCTTAGCTATTGTATTATGGAAAAACCAAAATCATCTTCATCTTGAATTTATGATTCCCTTTAGAAATATCAAAATAATCGTAATTAAGAGATAGTTTTGGTTTTGGATATTTGGATATTTCTAAAGGAAATTATGAATTCAAGATAAAGATAATTTTGGTTTCTACATGACGATAGCTAAGACAAAAATCGAAATCCAAACTAAGCGAGCTCCTATGACATCATTCAGAAGCAAGCGAAGTCACGGGACGCTGAGAGCCAATGAAAAGCGACCTCAATCCAAACTATAGTAGAATCCGTAAATATGCGTCTGTGAGTGGACACACGACAGAAGAGAAGCTTCTTACGCTTTTCTGTATAATTAAAAGTATAATGGTAGAATCGAACTCTCTCTTTCTTTTACTTCCCTCCCCTATATAAAACAAAACATTTAAAAATTCTATAATTACCTATCTATAAAATGATAATATGTATAAATATATATAAACTCATTATTTATTTATAATACGTGATATGTTTAATATGCCTAGTTTGTGTTCCGGATGAGAAGTTTCTTGTGTTCTTTTCTTTTACAAGGTTATTAATGGTTCGATCGAATGTACTGATATAGTGAGCTCTATAAATTTCGATGTGTCTGCCAGATCTTTAAATGTGTATTCAGAATTTAATTATAATAACAGGTTTTCGTTATATAAATTTTATAAGACTTCTAACAGGATCTCTGATGAACTGGACATTTATCATATGTCTCCTACTGTTTTTAAATCGAATTGTTTTCAATTTTCAAATACATGACCTGATTTCTTTTTCTTTATATGCGCTTGAATATACATATTAAGATTTTTATGCGTTTTCTTATTTTTGTGTTGATCTTGTGTTTGTGAGTGTTTGACTTTTTGACCCTTGCTTTTTTAATGGTTTTTTTTTATTTAATGTTCTAAATTTTAAAAAAATTGTGTGATTTTTTTATAACAAGGACTTTTAGAACTTCATGCAACATGGACTTTTAGAACCTTAGTGTTCTTAGTGCTTTTGTAATTGCGTGCTTTCGTCTTAAAACATTTATGTGTTCACATTTTTATAGTTAATGTGGTTTTGAGCTTTGAACTGTTGCATTTTCTGCAGTTACTTTTTTTCTTTGTGTTTCATTTCACTTTGTGGCTTCTGTTCTTTGTATGTTTTTGATCATGCACTCTGTAAATGGAGTCATATCTGTAGTTTGCTCTCTCTGAATAAATAAATAAATAAATTATGACTAATGCAGATAAAAAAAATTATACGGCATACACGCAGTTAAAGAAAGAGCATTTATTTACATTTTTATTAATCTGTATATTGAAACAAAAGAATTAAACTAATCATCACATTCTACCATGGAAACAATTGGTTTGTAATAACTGAAATATGATACAAATGTCTACCATTCTATTTTTTAATACATCTGCAAAAAGCTGCATCAATGGTTGTGTGAAACTTTGTCATCGACACTAACGGATTACTGTTCATAATTAAATTAAATTTATCAAAAAGAAATTTTAAAAGTGGCTCTGATTTTTTAATTGCAAAATTAACCTTAAAATCATCAGCCAACACAGTTCTCCAGTTTACATACATGTCTCCAATAAATAAAACTCGCCAGAGTGTGACGCAGTGGTATAGCGTCCCTGTACAAACTGAAAGGTTGAGAGTTTCAATCCGCCGGCACGAAATACCCATTAAAAAGTTTCGAAATGCGTAAAGCTCGAATATTTAAATCCTCCGTATGTGCCAATGATATACGTAGATTTGGGGTTAAAATATTAATAGTATCACTTTTGTTATACTAAATCGCAACGCATGCAGCACGAACTTCACTTTTGAACTTAGCAATGCAATCGAACTAGGAATGTCGACTGCTCCTGCGCTGGTCTGACGTCCCTCCGTCTCGTGAACAATGCTATCGAAATTAGGAATGACAACGGCGCCTGTCCTAGTATGACGTACTTCCATTCGTGACGGTCGGTTTTTCTATTCTAACTCCCCAGCCCGAAGCCTGCGTTAAGAAGCTTCGTTTGCAACATAATTGAATTGATTCTCCTTTTCATTCACAATTTGAAATCAGTAGGCATGGGAATGAAGGTACGAGTATCCACTTCTTTTCATTTATAAAAGTCTTACATTTTTAATTTCATTATTAGTGTGGTATTAATTATTAATTAACATGAATTCAGCGAATCATCTCCTTATAATTATTTTGAGGCAAATCAATTTAATTCAATAATTAAACGCACTAAAAGTTTTTCATTGCACTTTCTGATAAATCAGTAAAGCAAGCTTGTTACTTTAACAGGACCCCTAAAAAAATCTGACCTTTCCTTTTCACTTCCGCTTGTAGTAAACCTCCCCCCCCCTTCCAGGAGAAAAGCACACCTAAAATGAAATAATTTTGGACCACCCAAATAAGAGAAGAACATGCTTTAGGGGCCTATTCTGGTACCCCCGGTTGGGTTCCGCACGTTAACAACGGAACCCAACCCAACTGGGA